CCCCCCCCCCCCCCCACAGACCGTGACAGAGAAAATCCATATGGACCCCCGTCCCCTCCCACAGACCGTGACAGAGAAACCTAGTACCCATCGCAGATCGCGACAGAGGGGCTCTAAAGACCATCACAAACCGTGACAGAGAAAATCCATATGGGCCGTCTCCTCCCCCTTCCCACAGACCGTGACAGAAAAAATCCATACCCGTCACAGACCGTGATAGAGAAACCTAGTACCCATCACAGATCGCGACAGAAGGGCTCCAAAGACCATCACAAACCGTGACAGAGAAAATCCATATGGACCGTCCCCCCCCCCCCCCCACAGACCGTGACAGAAAAAATCCATACCCATCACAGACCGTGACAGAAAAAATCCATACCCATCACAGACCGTGACAGAAAAAATCCATATTCATCACAGACCGTGACAGAGAAACCTAATATCCCTCACAGACCGTTACAGAGGGGCTCCAAAGACCATCACAGACCGTGACAGAGAAATCCAATACGCGTCACAGAGCGTAACAGAGAAATCGAGTACCCATCACAGACCGTGACAGAGAAATCCAGTTCCCATCACAGACCGTGACAGAGAAACCTAGTACCCATCTCAGACCATGACAGAGGAGCTCCAAAGATCATCACAGATCGGGACAGAGAAAATCCATATCCATCACAGACCGTAACAGAAACTCAGTACCCATCACAGATCGTGATAGAGAGATCCAATACCCGACACAGACTGTGACAGACAAATCCAGCACCTATCACAGACCGTGATAGAGGGGCTCCAAAGACTATCACAGACCGTGACAGAGAAAATTCAAATTCCTTCATTCACAATATAAAAAGCTCCATCGTGTTTCACATTTTTCATCCCGCAAGGGATTGCGCTAACAGCTTTCTTCAACATAAATAGTTTTATATTTGACTTTGTTGTACCATTTTTCATGAAAAAAGTTTTTTAACCTTTTTTTGCAGATTTTAAAATAATGAAATCTAAAACTGTTTTTATAATGTTTAGAAGCATAGAACTGAAATCTTCTAAGCGAACAAGTGGATCTCGACTTCTGACGGAGTCCAATAAATTCAAATGGATCTCAATAAATTTCGATGATTTCATTATCGTATTCGTTAAATTTCACCAAGATTCTGATATTCTAGATCCCCAAGTTCGTTCTTGAAGAAAGTAGTAGGATTCATGTGAGTAGTATAAATAAAATTGCATGTGTCATATACGCTAATCTATACGGGAACAGATAGAGAGAAACTATAGGATAGTTGAATAAGAGAACCATGAGGGCCAATTTATGGCTCAAAAAATCTTTTTACTAGACAAGTTGTATCATGAGATGGGATAGAGAAGAAAAGTTGATGTTTTGATAATCATCTCTCAACAGAGAGAAACTAACAATTATTAAGATGATCGACTATAATATCGTTATAGGAGTCGTTGAATAATTCATTCTCGAATACAACTCTCCATCTCTTTTCTTATTCTAGCATTCATACACCTATTCTTAACTTTATGTTTGCATTGTGTCCCGTCTTGCGCTCTCTCTCTCTCTCTTTGTTTGAAGTTGAGAGTACTGTTGGATGTATGTTGAACAAGAAAATCAATATAGACTATTTGAGACCAATCATCGTCATCTTCAGTACAAGCCTATCGACATTTTTTTTGTTTTGTATAGATTAAAAAGTTCTTGTTCTTCGTTTTTGTTTCTTAAAGATCTCAAAAAAATTTCTCAAAAATGACGGAACAATTATTAATTAAATTACAAGAACATTTCCAAGTAGTTAAATATGATTTTTCTTATTAATTAAACTTGACAATGAATTTTAGTTAGAAAATGTCAATGTTAATATTACAAATATCGGATTTTATTCACTTACAATGGAATCCAATAAATTTACTTGTGTACGTGAAAAGTTAATGATACCACTTTTGTTTTTATTATTGATATGACTGATTCAAATAATTGTATCAAAAAAGCAATTATAACTGACTCCACTAATATGAATTCGGCAAATAAACGTATTTGCCTTAAAAGGTTAGAAAAGTAAAAATATTTTAAGAAAAAAAAACGAAATCTCTTTTTGTTTCACCTAGCAAAATTATCCAAATATTTTATATTGAATAATGTCGTTGAATGAAAACATGTTTAATGAGAGAAGATTGTATCGTTTGGAAATGGTGAATGTTAACAGAATTGACATTGTCACAGAAACATTTGTTTATCTTTGGCCAATGGATGGTGATAGTCAACCAGTTAAAATGGTTTATCATTATCTAAATTTACAAAATTGTCAAATAATTAATTACTGTACTGATGAATCCTTACAATGGTTACTTTTATTGATAAGATAAAAATAAAAATAAAATATTTTATTAGATTTTTCCAAGAGAAAATGGGAATTTTTATTGAATTATTTTTAGGTATTTTGTTGGAAGAAGATAGTCGTGTTGTTGATCGTATGTAACTTTATTCTGTTGAATGTAAAGTATCACAATCGTTTGAAGGATCTGTTGCTACATTTACACAATATAAACTTGAAGAAAATAAAACATCATCAATACTTTTTTCATTTGCTGTTCGAGAAGCACAACGAGGAGAAGTATAATATAAATTCCATTTATTTTTTTCATTAGCTTCATACAGGCTTCGTAGTTGTCCTATATCTTCTGTAATTCCTATATGCTTGAAAATGGTCCTATAATATCCTCTATTTCAGACATTTATCCTATATTTCCTGTATTCTCCAAAAAAGTTAAGATTTTTTTAAAGTGTTATAAATTTTTTGGAGAAAAGGCAAGCATGCCCATTCACGTATAGCTGGTTACATCAAAAGCAATAAACATGAGACCTATTGACATTGTATCGGTATTTTTCAGTCCATTATCATATTTATTGTCATAATTCATTCACTCTTTCGAAACCGTTTATGAAGATGACTTGTGTATTGAAGAGTTTATATCGAATTTTCGTGTAGTATTGTATTGTCAATTATTGCTGCCAGAACTGATGTTTCTTTTTCAGGATAAATCCACTACAAGTCATTAATGTGTGTCACGATTGTCTTCAACATAGCAAATGAAAATATATTCGTGCATACTCGAGCTTCATATTTCGAGACTTGAAACTTGTAAAACGTTATTCGAACGGTAGCTAATGGTTCGAAAGAGAAAGACCGCGACTGATGCAATCTAAAGTACGAATTGAATAGTAGAGTTTTGTCCTTACCCCTTTGAAGTAGTTCCATTCATTGAACCATTACCTCTACAAAAGAGAATTTCACAAGCTTAATTCTTCCTCGGGATAGAACTGAAGAGAGTGAATAAAGCAGATGCTAGTATATTTTGGCTGTCCATTTTCCACACTACACCAGGAAGAGCACAACCAATGCTACCCAATAGCACAGATGATTGAACGATCAATGCGCTATAATTTTCTTGAAGAAGACGTTACCTTTGATAGAAAGACAAATCATACTAACAGTATTTACTAAATATACGATTCAAAACATTATTGTTTTCAATCATCTAAATTGTAATATTGATAACAAGACAAACGATCACACTACTACATGACTTTGATGAGATTATTTAAAACTGTATAATTGAGACATTGCCATATATCAAGCAAGATTTATTTAAGAATGCAACAACTAAGAGTTGAGAGTGTTCACGAACGACTTCACATTCCGAGTTTTATTAAGAAATTATCTAGTTTGAATTTATAAGAAAATCAGATGTAGTTTTTTAAACAGCAACACAAAAGACAGAAAATTACAATTAACACAACAATCTGTGTCGCTTAAGCCCCCCCCCCCTTTCCGGAGTTTCTCGAGAACGGCTCATCAGAAAAATTTGAAATTTTCACAGCTGATAGATCTCGATGTGTAGAGTAAAAGTTGTCATAGGCTCAAAATTCCCAAATGCTTCTTTCTAGGAAATATTGGGGGCATAATAGCTAAAAATCAACTCCCAAATCGCCTCCCGTTTCTCAGGCATAGTAAATCCGATTGGGCTGAAATTTTTTCCACAGATAGCGGAGACATTTTAGGGGGACTACTTTTTTGGTTTCTTTCTGTCCCATATCGTTCGAATAAAAAAGCCAAAATACGAAGAGCACCCTAAAAAACGCATGCTTTTTCTGAATAGTGCTTGTCTTATAAGCCCTGCCAAAACTGAGCGATACAATAATTTTCAAAACAAAAAAAAGTAGCCCCCTAGGGTGTGTGGGTGTGGGTGTGTGGGTGTGGGTGTGGGGTGTGTGGGTGGGTGTGGGTGTGGATGTGGGTATGGGTGGGTGTGGGTGTCGGTGATGAGAAGATATCCACACCCACACCCCCCCCCCCCCCTCAGAAATGAAGTCCCACTTGGGACCCTCCATTTGGGCTGAAATTTTTAGGGATGATTGGTCTTAGTGAGAAACGCTTATGATAAAAATTTCAGCTTCACATGTTCGACTAAATCACAGTTTTGGTTGGTTTTCCTACCTTTCAGAAGAATCGAAATAACTCCGTCCGGAGTAGGGATGCAGAGCTCGGACTGGTTTCAAATTGTAGCTAGCCTCTGTACGCAACTTTTCATCGGGCGGAATTTTGAAAGCCCTTTCCATTCATTTTTTACGAGCGATTTTGTGGGTATGCTGGCAAAATAAGCATAAAAAAAGTGTGGTTCAACGACAATAAACTTCACTTTTCTCAGCCCTGGGTTTCAATATCAAAAATCCGTCCGATGAAAAGTTAGCTCTAATCAAGACCTTTATAACAAAAAAAAATAATGGGTTATATGCCGAGCCGAGTGGGAGTTATTTCGATTTTTCTGTCTAGAAACCGTGTTTTGAGAAAAATGCTAAAGAAATTTTAGAAACGGATTTTTGCATTAAAATCCAGAACAAGTCATGTTATCGTGGTATATTCCACTGGACCGTCTAAAAGGACGTCATAGATGACGGCAGCTAGTGTCGTCTGACATAGTGATTAGTATGAAAATGTTCTATTCAACGATAATGCTAGTGGGAACGC